GTCTACATGTCGGACATATTCGCAATTATACTATTACGGACGCTTTAGCTCGTTTTTATCGAATGAAAGGCTACGAGGTTCTGATGCCGATTGGTTGAGACGCCTTTGGCTTACCAGCCGAGCAGTACGCGATACAAACTAATAATCACCCCGCCACTTTCACCCAAAAAAATATTGATAATTTTAAGAGGCAATTGTTAAGAATGGGTTTTTCTTATGATTGGGGTAAGGAAATAAATACTAGCGAGCCCGCTTATTATCACTGGACGCAATGGATTTTTTGCCAAATATACCGGCAAGAATTAGCCGAATATAAAGAAATCCCCGTTTATTGATGCGAAAAATTAGGGACTGTCCTGGCGAATGAGGAAATCAAAAATGTTGACGGCAAAAAGGTTTCAGAACGAGGAAATTTTCCGGTCGTAGAAAAAAAAATATCCCAATGAGTTTTGAAAATTACTCAATATGCTCCGCAATTATTAGAGGATTTAGAAAAATTAGATTGACCCAACAGTATTAAAAGTTTACAAAGAAATTGGATCGGTTTATCGAGAGGAACGATTATTAATTTTTCGCTAACCGAAAAAAAATTGATTATTCCTGTTTTTACTACCCGCCCCGATACTATTTATGGAGTGGTAGCAATCACTTTGTCAATTAATCACCCTTTAATTTCGGAAATTACTTTGTCTGAATATCAAAAAAAAGTTGCTGGTTTTTGCGAATATTGAAAAGACAAAAAAGAAAGCAAAGAAATATGTGGAGAGTTTACCGGAAATTATTGTTTAAATCCTCTAAATAATGAAAAAATACCAATTTGAATAGCCAATTTTGTCATTAGTGATTATGGCACCGGAGCAGTCATGATTGCCCCCTTTTTTCTAGTAGAAGAAATATATTCTACCTTAAAAAAAACTTCTCCTCTTGCCAAAGAGATTTCAGAACAAGAAATGAAGCAAAACAAAGAAGTAGATTTCGCTTTTGCTCAAAAATATCAATTATCAATAAAAGGTGTTGGCTTTTCACACAATAGGATTTTCTACGACAAATATAGCCAATATGGTGATAATCTCGATATTTCTGGTTTTTTTTCAAATTCAAACGGAAGAAAAGAAGAACTTATGGAAATCATTAACCAAAAATTAGAAAAAAAACAAGTTGGTAAAAGAACCGAAACTTATCACCTAAAAGACTGAATTTTTTC